GCCACAGTAAAATCCATGAGGAGAATGTCAGGTACTGACAAAAGCTGCTTTGCATGCTTTCTTGTCAGTCCGGTGGGACAGTTTTTTTTGTATGCCAGTGGCTGGCAACATGTCAGTATTGCACTATGATTCTTTTTTTTAGTAGAAGCAAATGCATCTGGATATGACTCTCAATCTGGCAGCGTTCTGCACCTACAAAAGGAGTAACTCAGGGTTGTGAGATCTTACCCTGCTGTTGTTTCTAAGGTAGTTTTTGCACAGATATATATTTACCTACCATCTTCTCTTATACTTTTCTTGAAGTTAGTTTATGTCTACTTTTGAATCCCTGATTATCAAGATCATGCCAGTGCATTTGTTTTCTCTGGTATGTTCAGATTACCTGTGGAGTTACTGGTGTATAATCAGGTTTCGGTTTTGTTTGTGAATTAATTCTGCAAAAATTAAGTTGGCTGCCTCTATTTTTAAATCCAAATTGGGTCCATGCAAATGCAGAAGTCCTTGCACAGGGACAAAGCCTGTTGATTGTCACTGTACAGTGCTGGGATGGAGCAAGTAATCCCAGCCAGGCCAGTCTGACCACTAGAGAGCTACTGAGCATCTGTGCATTGCCCTTTTGAAGGCTTTCTATTCCAAGAGCTTTGTCAGTTTGTGTGCAATATGGCACGAATGCACTGAGCAGGTCTTAATCTAATGCTGAATATGAGTCACTAAGCCCTTTCAGAAAACACGCAACTAGGAGCAATCATGAGGCTGTAACATCTGCAAAACCCACAGGCTTTTCGTCCCCATGAATTAGCCAAGAAGTGTCTGCATTTCAATGCTGAGTTTAAATCCAGCATGGGGACTCACCTTTCCGGGTGGAGGCTGGGATAGACTTACTAGAAAACAAAAGTCAAGTTTGAAAAAACCCTTAAAAACATTCCATAAAAGAAAACATAGAAGAAACAACAATGTGGATTTTTTTCACTCTGAGTAAATAGAGAAGTTCAGCTGCTGAGAGTATCATGCTGAAGGGTACAAATGCAGCGCTTTGTCTTCTGAGACGGGCTGGCTTTAGGAAGGCAAAGGGGTTGCTAAACCATTCAGGAGTGACAGTTACTAGAGATCATGTTCTTCATCATGAGGTTAAGGCACTTAATTGCAACGTACTCACCAAATACTGCTATGGCAAACTATCCCTTGTCCCTGTTTAACAGATCGCTGCTTTAACAATCATCAGCTGCTGCAAATGTTCTCCCCACTGCAAATCCTTTTTCTTCATCTGTAGTTGTGACACTGACCGCGTTGTTGTACCCCTCTCCCAGAAATGTCTCTGATTTCTTTGACTACGTGCATAAATGCCCTTCCCTGTCTAACCCGTAGTGTGCTAAAATTCAGCTTTTTCATGGGAGTAACACCAGCTGACTTTATCTAGCTTCAGGAAGGAGACTACCATAGATACGAAGCATTTAGGCAAAGAGTTTCTTACCTGGAATTTTGGGAAATGCGTACAATAACCTCACAAAAGAAATACTAGGTTGGGATTATATTCCTGAATTTATTTGGGATAAAAGTCTATTAGAAATGTTTGGAAAGTGTTGGCATAAATGAAAAACAATTTTGCCTTTTTTCTGATATTAAAAACTAGTTTCAATTTTCCAGCTAAGGAAAAATAAAATTTTTGGCCCATTTTGTGCTTGAGCATTTCGACATCTGCTCTCTTCCTTCTTATTCTTTGTTTCCTGTCAGGTAAGAGGAAGAGTATAAGGATTATTACATGTCAGCCCAGTCTACTGCTTGATAGCGTAGCCTGAATTGGGCTCTGACTCCTCACTTGACACTCTCTCACTCTCTCACCTAGTTCCTCAGGGGAAATACAAAGCTATACATCCAACTATACCAAATAAATGTACCCAAGAAGGAGACTCTGCCTCTAAGACAACTATTGAACTTGATTGCTGATGAATCTTTATGCACTTCCTGAGATGTGTCTTCAGCATTAACTAGTACTTACGGCTTTTTGCGATCTGGCCCTTACTTTGCTTGTCTTCTCCTTGTCAACTGCAAGTGCAGGTACCTGGAAACACCTCAGTGCTGTTATCATGTAAGAAAACAAAGCTGTGATATGTTTCTTTTGTTTTGGTTTAATGTATCTTTTTCTTATCTAACACAAAACCTCACAAACAGTTCAGATGATGGTGCTATTTTTGAGAAGCTGAGTATTAGAATGTAACAGCAGGCCACAGGAAGTCTGGGCCATCTTAGCCTGGCATCGTCTTTCCAAAATAAGATGTCCCACTAGAGTCTCAGCTCTCAGACATAGTTCCTGTCCTGCAAGTGCTGGCAGAGGTGTCAGCCTGAAGGGCTTTCCCAAGCATGACTTGAGGCAGACCCTGCACACTGCTGCCATACGAACGCAACAAGGCTGGCACGCGCCATCCCAATGCTGACAGACTTCAAACCAAGGCAACTGGAAGAAAAGGTGGATCCAGTCGCTATACTGGGCACTTCTGTGGTCAGCGCAGGGTATGTGCAGACTGCCTGTGGCCTGAAGACCATCTTTATGGGGCATGAGGCAAACAGCGCATCTTCAGGACTGAGACGCGTCAAAGCAGACAACCCTTAGCACTTGGTGCAGAGCGGCAAGCCGAGGAGGACAAAGACAGAACATGCAGGGTGATTCCAGTTGCATATTGTCCTTAAGCAGTATCCATGTTGTAATACGTTTTAAGTGCAACCCTTCCACTCAAGAATCAAAAAGGCTAAAGATTCCATGTTAATTAGTAATCTCTGGAGTCATGCAGATCTGTAATAACTACCTACAGATCAAAGATGTTTCATGTTTAGCATATTTTAATATCAAGATAGAATTAACGTTGTAATTTCTGTAGTTGGAAGTCTTGAAATTAGCATTTGGAAGAGGCCAGTCTATTCTTCCATTTATCTGAATACAGCCAATTTTTGAATGATGTTTCACATCGAGGTGTACAATCAAGGTTTTGCTACCAGCTAGCCAGGATACAAAAGTTGCTGTAGTGTTTGAAGGTCACTGTAGGATTATCCCTGGCTGAATGGGACTCAGATGGCCCACTGTGTATGATCATTCCCACGTATAGGCGCAGAAGAAAATGCTGTAAAAAGAAGAAAACTACAAATGTTGGAATACCAACCTTATCTTCAGTCATTGCTGGCATTGCTTCTTGTTAAGTAACTTATGACTTTGTGCTAAAACCTTATCTAGAGAAGTAAAAATAGTGAAAATAGTCCTTAAAATGTTTCCATTTGCAAGTTTCAGTCCTTGAACCAGAGTAACCACATACTTGAAGATCCATTTATTCTTCATTTCTTTTCTGAAGCTTCCACAACCTTCCCTGAAGCCGCGAGTTGGGAATGTTAAAAAAAGTGATTTGAATGTATCTATTTGTATCACATTTATATCCATTTATATTACAACAACCAAGGCAAATTTTTCAGATTTTAGGCTTGATAATTGAGACATAGTTGTAATAATGATTTATTATACTGCTCCCAGAGTTACCTTTCCAACATATTGCTATGGCATTCAGTGTTAACGAAGGCTGGGCTGCATGCCTCTCAGAAACTGCAAAGCTTGTTTTCTTGCATAAAACTTTGAACGCTGGGCAGAGGGGATTACAAAAGACAGTAGAGTGGCTAAAACTGTTTGTATTATCAGTGATTTGGGAAAAAAAATCTTGATTTAACCTCTAAATGCTTTATTCATTACAATGGTAATTAATTGTTACAATGCTGAGATATGGTTTAAACAGAGCCATGCATTATACATAGCATTGTGCCAACTCTTCTCTGCCACATTTGTTTTGAGTAATGGTTTTAATGTAAACCAGACCGAAGATATTTCTGGCTAGGTTTCCTCATATCTCTCTTTTATCTTTGTCTAGCATCTTCAACTGCATGAACAATCTTCCCCGAGGTTGTTGTTACTGGTGTCCTTTATAAATTTCCAATTTTCATTATATGCGCTGCCTGCAATAACTCCTAACTATATAGTAATCCTTTGGATTACAAAAGGCAGTGTTCTACGTTCTTTCTCAGGGATGAGTTAACTCTCCTCTCTCTTCCTTCTTCTGTGGTTTACAATATTGGTACAGTAAATACAGGCATTCATAGATTTAATTTGGTATCATCCTGCTGCTACATAGAGAGATCACAAATGTGAACATGTAGTCCAGAACAAAGAAATACGAGCAGCAAGTTGTATTACTATTTTACTGAAAGATCAGCCCCTAGAGTGCCTTCAAACACAATGTATGCCCACCTGCCTTCAGCCTTTGCAATGGCCTGCACAGGGAGTATTCAGGCTGTTGCACAGCAAACAAAGAGTTTGGTTTTAAAAGCAGCATCAGGGATGCCCTCTGCAGTTATCATAGAACTACAGCTCTGGTCCACTGTGGCAGTCAGGACTTAAACCCAGTTTTCTGTGTCCTCCCTGACTAAGCCTTCAAAAAATACTGTAGGCAAATGTTCTGGCTTCATGAATGGAGTTGATGGGATAGCATTTTACCCATGAACTCCAAGAAGCAAGGTGTTGTAGGGCACTGCTATGGTCTTAATCCCAGATGAAATGTGAAATTACCAAAATACATAATCTGGTGAGGGCTGAATAGTGAGTCCCAGTATCAAAAAGAGAATCTTGTGGAAAAAAAAAAAAAAAAAAGAACGCTCTATCAAATCCCACACAGTGCAGCACATGGGCTGTTTGCAACTGCTGTGCAATTTTGATGGAAAAAAAAAAGTATTCTCCAGCTTTGACTAGTCCAATTGTAAAATCCCCCAAATGCTGCTTCTATTTTGTCCCTTCGGAGATGAGTGAGAGAGAGCTCACTCTGTATTTTCAGTTCACTTGTGATACTATACATGAGGGAAGGCCCTAGATTCCATATACTATTTTCCCTTCCTTCCTGCCCTCCTCCCTCACCCCAAATACCCTCTTAAACCACTATCTTTTTGGTTCAAACAACAAGGCTAAACAGGTGAAATTTTAAATAATGATTGAGGATTTTTTTTTATTCATTTAAGTTTCAATATCATTACAGAAAATGTTATGGTACAGAGTTGTTTAACATTAGTTTTATTTCTTTGCTCATTTAATTTCCACACGAATGCTGGTAACACTAATATCTGTACAAGATCAGTCTTTGATTTTTTTTAGTTTTTAGTTCTGTACATTTTTAAATGTATTGGTTAAAAAGGCTGTCAGCACTTAAGGAAGCAATTTTTTTGTTTGTTGAAATAAAAGGTATCCAGTTACTGCCCAAGAGTACTGAGCTGGGTGGCTGCCGGGACAAGAGAGATCCCTGAATGCACAGCGAGGTGAGAAAACCTCGGGGCTTCATTGGGTTCCCAGTGCAGCCACTCTGCTTTTGGCACTGTGCACATCAACACGAGATACAAGATAAAGAACAAGCAGAAGCTCTCTGTGAAGCGGTTATGAAGCATACTAATAAGGGAAATCCAAGTGTTGTCTACGCTAGTATAAATAAGCAGACAGCCTTATTTTAAGAGCATAAGTAGTTGTATCTTAAAGATGAGAAAAAACACAAGTTCTGCAGGCACCTACTGCTGTCTACTAAAAGCTACCGCTATTAGAACTAGCATTGAACACACAAAGCAATTGCAAGGAAAGGAAAAAGTTGCTTTGATATAATCAGAATAAATTTCTTTGTTAAGATTTGTTTTAAAGTTTTTTTTAAAAGGTATTTATTTAAATTCCATTTGAAATATAATCCAAGATGTTGACTATACTGATCAACTGTTATCCAAATCAGAAAAACTAGCTGTGCCATTGCATATTACAGGATACAGTCAATGATATGTGGACATGCATCAAAGCTTCGTTCTTGCTGGTGACATCATAGCCTTCCAATGACCATGACATCCACCACCTCCCCCTTGTGAAGCTCCACATACTGCTCTGTCTTTGGAGGTAGCATCAACAGTCCATTGGCACTGCGCATACTCATCAGACGACTGCTCATCTGATTCCCTACAGGAGAGCGAGAGAAAAATTCCAGTTAAGTTTTCAGTTAGTTTCAAGCGCTGCAACACACCACGTGGGAAACAAAAGCTGTTGTTACGAAGATGTTCATGTTGCTAACTTATTCACAGAGCTGGGATCTCACTGTTCTGAGATGGATGGAAACAGAACTCTGTAGAGAATTAGTCAGCCTCCCATCGCTCTGGCTCTCAAAACCCTCATTCCCTTTGCTGATTGCTTTCCTATCCAGCCTTCCACATTATCTGTACCTCATATCTTGTCATAGTAAATTGCTTTTCTGTTGGAATTTCTAATCCTATCAAAATTATTTATTTTTCAATTTGTATACCTAATTCTGATTGTACAAAGACTAAAACCAGCACAGTCTAGAATGTTTTTAACATACTGTTATAGAATAAGTTTGATTAACTTTATTCTCTCTGAATAGTCTTGTTTAGCATTAGTAGCTTAGCACTAGCAGCTAAAGTGGTTGAAGCCTTAGGCTGCAAGAGCTGACGGAGAGTAAACTTTTTGTTAAAACTAATGCTGTTAACACAGAACTAGCTGAATGTGGCAGATGTGAGCAGAATGAAGAAGATAAGGACCAAGGAAACAATTCCAAGAGAATGAGGTAACTTCAGAAGAAGGCCAGCCCAGCGACAAAGAAAACCAGTAAGAAATCAAGAGACCGCCGACGAGAATTAAGTGACTGGACTTGGGGATTGGGTGCTGGGTGGTACGGGTATAATTGGAGGGTGCAATCTGGGGTAGGGGTCCCTCTCCAGAGGCACCCAGCTCGAGCTGTAACCTGAGAACTAATGAAAGAGGAATTGGAAACCTTCACTTGGACTTGACATTTTTCAGTGGGATCCTAGGGTTGGACCCTGTTATGGTGGCCAGCTGTGTAAATCCATAACAAATACCACCTCAAAAGAATGGGCTTCTTTGGGACACTGAGCTTCACAACATGTCCTGAAGATAAACAGTATCATATTGGTAGTACTGACAAAAAATGAAAATGCAATAAAAAGTCATGCCCTTTAATTTCTTGGTTTTCAAACTTCCAGCTTGACAGAGAAATCATTCCAGACAGTCTGCTTGCGTAAGGAATGAAGTGGTACACAACAGAACAGAGTTAAACCAAATACAGCATTATAGATGTAAGTAATACCTTGACTTATACCTGGAAATATGTCAGAGGCTGTGTGATCTTGGGAGTCAATGGTAAGAACTTTCTCTGAGTAAACTAGTGTTTACTAGTTTAGATGCATTTCAGCTGATGTTTTCCCTGTGGAGACTTGTTTCTAGCATTTTGTATTGAACAACTTGGATGTAGCAAAAAGACAATTAGTTGTTTAAGAGCCTGAATCTCTTGAGAAACTGGCAGAGTTGGTCTTCTGGCAGTACACAGCTAAAAAAGAATTCAAATGTGGTATTTGCCTCAACTGCAGCTGAGTATCCAGAAGTATCTCTAAGTGGCAAACATGACTAATCAAAGTCTTAATTTGCTTTAAGAGAACATATACAGCCTCTGCTATCTCTTCTACTTTTCCAGTTCAGCTAGAATCACACTTCTTTTATTTGTATTGTTCCTACCTATGCCCCAACTTGTGTTTGTTTAATACATGCACAAGGGCAAAAATAAGCAAATGTGCTTGCGAGTGCAAGTAAGCATGGGTGGATATAAAAAGCAATATGTATGCAAGCACATAGGTGTATTTGTGTGTGTGCATGTGTGTATAAAGGCAGGTTATTCAGATAAGTTTTAGTGGTTAAGTTGCAAAGTCATATTATGACTGAATTTTATACTAACGTACATGTATGCCTGTGCACAAGTATGTCAGCAAATCAGTCTGCAGAAGAAAGGTTATATGAAAAAATGTGCACACGCTTGGTTGTTTCTAAACATACACGTAGGAAGGCAAGGACCTGTGTGTGTCTGTCAGTCTGTGTGACTGGGCACTAACCTGTACTCTGTGCCCAAGGTAGTGGTTCTTGGTGATGCCAAGTCAGTATGCACCGATGATATTCTGGGCGGGGGTCCAATTTTACATCACATGATAACTGTAGAAGAAGCAAAGAAAGGATGAAAATGTCATGCATTCAGATTGCACTGTCTAAGGTAACGGAATCATCTGCTCAATTGTTTTTCCTTAAAAACAGTCTTTTTAAAAACTTGCATTTTGAGGTCAGATGGTGTCTCCTGAAAGATCAAAAGCTGTAGAAGGTAGAGACTGCAGTATTTAAGGGAAATACAACTGTGACATTATAATATCAAAGAGTATGATGGAGTCTACATGCATTAAGTGTAATATTCCAAAGCTGTTCCTTTACTGGGAGTTTAAAGATAGTATTTCTCTGGGAAAAAAGCTTTATTGTTTCTGGTCTCTGGATTACTCTGCATAAAGATAAAAATTTTATTCGCTTTCAGAATCCTGCTAGCCCTGACAAAAGGGAAATGGCCAGTCTTTGAAATGAAAAGGCATATAGCGGATGGCTCACAATGGAATTCAATGGAACACATTGGAAAATTCATGCAAAAATGAGGGTCACTACAAATTGCTCTCTGTTTTAGAATATTTTAGCTGTGAGATAAAGAAAAATCTAGATGCCTGAGGAAGTGCAAAAGAAAGACACGGGATAAGCAGTAAGAGAAAAGTGCACAGCCAAGAACGCTAGGAAAACTATAAAAGGTAATGTGTTCCTTGGTACTTTATTTGAATCAAAAATAGAAGAATAATACATTATAATAACATGCCTTGAATCTATATTAAACAGAGTTACAATATCCATGATTTCGTGTAAGAGTGAAATGAGTAGTTTAAGGGATTTATATTGCTTAGGGTGGGGGTCATGTGGGTTACTTATATAAACTCAAGAACAGAAAGGCTTTAAAGTTTCTATTTTTAAATGCTAATACAGAACTGTCCAACTCCTTAGGTATTCCCAGATTACTCTGCAATTTTTACCACAGGTTAAAACAAATGTTTTTTTTAAACAGGAAAGCGTCCTTCCTGCCTGATTGGCAAATGGCTGCCTTTGCATCTGTATATCTCGCTCCATTAGATGGCCATCTAACTCTTAGAAATTATGGGACTGAGTATTACTGTTAACAGAGATTGAGAATGTACCTCTGTTTTGTGTGACCTTCTTTCAACTTGCCAGAATTAGTCTAGGGCTCAGATTCCCCAAACAAAACAGCCTTTCCAAGCCCAAAGAGCTGTGCTTCAACATCTTTAGAGATTTTTAAATAGAGGACAAGCTTCTTACCCTGGCTTTGATGATGGTGGGCCGAGGATCCAGGATACCCTGCATTTTCCTCAGTGCGGGAACAACAAAGAGATTGCAGGTGACAACAGCTGACACGGGGTTGCCTGTAGGACAAAGAACAGTTGGTGGTGACTCTCTCTTGATTTACTCTGCGAAATGCTGAAAGTGATCTCATGTTTTTATAGCAATTGCACCCTAAAGGACTCTAAAGAGCTTTTCATGCTGTGGACAGATAACGTTTCATTCAGGACAGGAGTGGCATGTGGCAAGTACACCTGTTAAAAGCTACACTCTCTGGCTGGTGGTGTGCTGAAATACTGCTCTGATCACAACTGCCCTGTGTTCCTCAGGCCCCACCATTTGCCTCTGTTCCTCTGTTGCCTGTTGTTTTACACCTAGATTTGTCTGGGGCCAGGGCAGGGTTTACTGTGGACAGGTATAGGTCCTAGCTGATAGGGCTCTTGATTCATGATTAAGGTTTTCAAGACTTATGGAAAAAGTAACTTTCAATTCCCTAACAGAGTGGCAAAATGCTTTAGTACAAATTCTGAAGAGAATTCTACTGATTCATACGTTTTCTGTTGGCTCACAAGAGAGGTGTACGACCAATGTCTGTCAAACACCACTTGTCTTACACATCTGGACTTCCCTAGGTAACAGTTCTAAAATAAATAGTACGATCAGACAGATGCTCCATTGATCTGTCCCCTGAAAGAAAATGTACTGCAGCAACTAAAACAGGAGAGAGAAAAAGCACTAGCGATACATCTGAAAATCACCAGCTTGTCAAGAACAGGATTCCTTGTGTAGTCAGAAATCCATGCAAAGCCAGAGCAATAAGAATAAAATAAATTCCTCCTGATTTAGGAGGATAGAGATTTGTAGCCAGATCCCTAAGGAAAAATTTATTCTGAATGAGGCGATTCCCAAGGTGATGCAGCACGCAGGAGGTGAAGTGATGCCGCTGCCCTCTTTTGGTTCCAAGGTACGATCATGATAAAAAAAAAGTATTCTGTGGCATGTTCTTTGTCACTGCCTCGTTTTTGTCTTCATTTTCAGTACTTCAGAGTGGATGCACTGACTTACATACACAAAATATTTACTGTGAAGGTGGCGGAAGCCATAGAAAAAACCCAACCCTGTATAGTACCACTTACAAAACCCAAGGAAATTGTTGAATGAAAGAAATCATAAGGCCTCTACACTGGCAAATTCTGAGGACAGGAACAAGAAAGAACTACTTAGTATATCCCCATAAGTCTGTCTCTCCTGGAAATTTCTGGGAAAACCTTATAGGTACATTCCTTAGGGATGCCAACACCAGACATAGGTGCTGTGAAACGTCGCTATTCTGTTTCATGTCTGTCACCTATGCACAGCGACAAAAGTAATCCACAAAACATCTTACCTGGGAGCGCAAAGATTATTTTTCTTACACCATCAATATCCAGCGTTGCAAAAGTTGTCGGCAGGCTATGGAAAAGGAAAGCTATTTAATATCTGCACTAGACTTTAACTGAACTTTACTATGTTATTATTTAAAACATTTGGAAAAGAAAACAAAACAGGATATGTCTCAGCAGTTCATTAGCACCTGCTGCTTATTCCATACTGGGGTTATAATCCTCTCTTTGTGATGACAGAACAATTAGTTTTTCTTGGTACTCAACTATGAAGTTTTAAGTAGACAATTTTGCTTCTCGTGAGGAAACATCACAGAGCAGATGAACTAGTAATCAAAAATCTAAATCCTGTCTCCATGCTAGAAGCCAATTAACAAAGAAGTAATACAGAAATTACACAGTTACAGAGCTGTATTTGTTTTTCATAGAAGGCTCTCCAAATTTTTTATAATGTTAATGACTCTAATTTCCCTTCTCTGTTGTCTACAGCAGTAGTGACAACAGAGCAGTATTTCACAGCAGCAAATGCTAGCTAGTCTGCAGATGAACAAATTGAGATACACAGGCAGAGCTGCAGTCAGGTAAGATCTTGGTCTATCAGTAAAGAGCTTGCTCTGCCTTTCAGAGCTGCTCCTGAGTGATCTTTAGTGACTTGTTACCATGGCTATTGCAGTTATACAAACAGGACAGTAATGTGATGGCTCAAGAATGTGGCTGGCAAAGAAAAGGGACTCATCCTTTAAAAAAAGTTTTCTATATACCTATGTTAGTATCATCCTTTTAAACATTAGAAATTATACTTTATAGAAGCAATAATTAGGCTGGCTTCCTTGGCTTCATCTTGAGCTAACAACTGTCACCTGATCAGCAGATGATAGTTGCTGACCAGCAGCAACTTTGGAGATTTGCCACACTTTGATCATTACTACCTAGTTTTGTATCTGCTAGGACTAATCAATGTCCTATTTTACCAGGGGAAGTTGGTGTTCGAAATTTCTGTTTTAAAAAGTCTCTAACATAATGGGAGCTAACATAATGCCAGACCTCCAAATCTTGTAACCAGTCCACAAACTGAGGTCCAAAAAATCTAACTGGTAATTCATATATACTGGAAACTCTGAATTCTCATATGAGATTTCAACATCATCATTGGCAAAGTCTTCCAGTACTTTCTTCTGGCAGTGCTGCTAGACAAGATACAACCTTACATTAGCTCAGCAACTTTCAGATCAAGTGGAGGAATAGTAAATCCCCGGCATCACTCTGCAGTCATGCAGCACATCAAAATACAGGCATACAAAGCAAATTCTGATTTTGCTCTTGGAACTTACTCAAGGGAATTTTTCCCAATATAGTAATCACAATTCATATCTAAGGCCTCTTAAGACAGAATTAATAAAAACTAAGGCACAGTATTTGCTATTGCACTACAGTCAATGAAGATGAGAGTGCTTACATTCTCAGTAAGATTAGATGACCAAATGTTTTGGTAGCAGTAAGAAATATGTTTCTTACGGCATAAAATGAAAATGGATGTTTGGGGAAAACAAGATTTCTTAAAGCTTTTCTAGCTAGTTATTAAAAGTTTATTGCTACAAGTCTACAAAGGCATCACCAGAAGAAACAATTATGTTTGCTTTCAGATAAACCAGAACCAGAATTTAATATTCTGAATTCTCTAAATCAGGTTATCCATTCTTGTCAGCAGCAGAGGCTGGAGTGCAGATCCCACTTCTGGGACTTCCCCACATTGGTTGCAGCAGTATGACAGAAGCAGTGAGCAATTCCCACACCTGGGCTACATCCAGCATGGGAAGAAACATGCTTTCAGCTCACTTGTTCCTTTTATGGACGGGAGGTGGTGGTAGTAGCAGCACAAGCACCAAACCCACATGCAGTTCTTTACTGGATTGTATGCAGAGACAGTAAAAGTATTTGTCTTTTTTCACAGCAAACACCCACTTTCTGTTCTGCTCCCTGGCAACAGTTATGGGCTAGAGGGAATAATTCCTCAAAGCTGCACTTGGCCTTGTGTTATTGGACCATGCCAACCTAGCTTGCAAACTCCACTCCGTGCTTAGTGAGGCAGAGCTGTAGACATCTTTCTGCTACTGTACTGTGAAAGGGAACTCTCTATTTTCAATACATGTAGTTTTCATTTTCTCTACAAAGCACACTTCCAGGCTCATTAATCAGCGGTGCTACAGCAAAGGAAAGCAATGCTGAAACAGTTTTCTGAGGCAAACTAAACACATAAAGGATTGTGTTTACTTTAAAATTACTATGCTTAATATGTCAATTAGATAAAACTTCGTAAATTAGCTTTTGTAAATTCCACCTCTCTCAAGAAATTGCTTGTTTGTAGGAATATGACTTATGCAAATTTGAATTGAAATGAGAAGCTCATTAAGCAAACTGGCAGTTTAACATGCTTATATTTCCTGGTTATTTCATAACAATGCCAATATCTGAGCTCTGTGAACACAGTGAAGACTGTGGCCATGTTTATACCACGCTGGTTTCCCCCCAATGCCCAAACCTGATTTGCAACAGTTATCAGAGAAATATCTCTTACCAATAAATAGTAATCTCTCTGTTCCAGTTAATTTCACCACTAAAGATGATGACTAATCTGAAGAGGGCTGATTTTGCTTTTTTTCCCATATATATCTACCATGTGGTTTATAGTATATTTGGAAAACTGAAATCTACTGAAGCACTTATATAGGACATTTGGCCCAATATAGCCTCCATCTATGCTGCCTAACTAGAAAGATTTCTTACCCTGGTTTCATAAAAACTCTGCCAAAGTGAATCTGTGCATGAAGATCAATATCCAGCACCTGTTTAAGATAGTCCTGTTTAAATTAAAAAAAGAAAATCGATTAAGTAACATCAAAGTGGCTTATATCATGTAAGCATTCAAAGTAATTAATTAATATCAAGTGAAGATGAAAGACTTTTCATATCCCAAAAGTGCTACAGTCCAGTGGGGAATTTCCAGTATTTGAAAGAAAGTATTTTCAAAAAGAAGAGGTGAAGAACAGACTCATTTTAGGTGCCAAACCTGACTCCACGGGGACATAGTAATATATTTACTTAAAAGTCAGCTGCAGCAGAATCTTAGAGGACCCCACAAATACCTACTACTAAAACATTGTCTATGTCAAAGATGGAAAAAAGCCTTTATGGTTCAAAGTTAAGATTTAAAATCATCAAGTTATTTAACTTTTGCCATGGAGGCTATCTAGCAGTAGAGTCAGAGATCTCCTAGTACTTTTGAAATCAATACTGTACTGTAGAAATCATAGTTTTCCAGGATACTGTAATTATTGTAATTTCTTGGGGACATGGTCTAATTCACAGTGGTCGGGTTTAACAGTCCTTAGAAAGGAAAAACTGTGGGTGGCTTGTGTGCTAGTTCAAGTTCAATGATTTTGCATAAACACAATTGACTCAGTTTTTAAAATGAATTGAATTACTTGTTTAGTCTTTATTGAAAATTGCTGTGCTCAAAAATGTAGTATCCTGTCTGTCGTGAGATTAGTGAGATTAAAGACACAGGACATAACAGTCATCTGTGAAGAAAGACTTTGGAAGCAGTAAATCTGAAGCTCCCTTGCAGTTTTCCCATCTTTCTCCCTTTTTTTTTTTTTTTTTTTGGGGTGGGTGTTCAAATACTTGGAAAGCAGCAACTTTTTTCAGCCAGGCATGAATTCTCAATTATTGATTGCATTAACACCATATTTACTTTCTATTTACTTTTTGGATGTTCACAATTATTTCATTAAAACTCTCGAAAGCTCAGTATCAGAGGGCTAACCATCAGTGGAGTATAGAGCTTATTGACTTTATGCTGTTGCCTCAAATTCAGACTGGGGAGAAATTAGCCAGAAGGCATAAATGCTTGTAAGACCATTCAGCAGTCCAGTCACTTCCTAGTGTTCCTGTGTCTGCACTATGTCACCACATTCCCAATTTAAACACCAGCACTTGTCCTTGATTATTTTTCTAGGAATACTGAGGACAATAATGGGATTGAAAGTAGTTGGCACTGGTTTAACTAGTTATCCATTTTCATGATGTATCCAACAATATGATTTCTACTTAGAAAGTGACAAAAACAGCACTCATGTTTGCCATCTCCTAATGACTGTCTTTAGTATCTGTTAGTTATAAAAGGAGAGATGTTTCTTTTACCTGCCAAACTCACAGATTCAGCCTGGGGTCAAAAAGTAATCTGAGTTTTCCTTCGCATAAGTCATGATTAATAAATGTCCTGCAGGTTCATCTACGCCCCACCAGCATCTGTGTATCCCTATTTTCTTTGATGGTTTTGGCACAGGGATTACCAACAGGAACTCAATCAACAATTCTGTTAATGATTCAAAAGGCAAATATATCAGCTCACTGTGTCTCATATGTATTGCCTCTGTAGGACTATCAGGTGCAAAATGTGATAAAAGTATTTTTGTAACAGATACAGCTTTGGCATATTCAGGAAACAGATCTGCTGAGTAGGAAAGAGCTATTTATATACTCAGGTTGCTTTTCGAAGTACTTTCAAAGTAGCTTTATTCTATCTACATTTTACCTGCTCTAAGAACAAAAAGAAATCTGTTGCCTTCATGTGCTATTAACCAAGCACCTTCCTCATCATAACTACATAAATCATTCCTTAAATAAAAACACATTTGCAAATCACACATTGAGAATTAAAATCTTCTCTGTTGTACTGTCTACTATAGTATAGTAATAAGAACAAAGGGAATGAGGATAGCATTGAAGACTGTTTTTTAATTAATTCACATTTAAGTGTTCCAAAAAAAGCAAGATCCCTTTTTAATAAACATTAATACAAACGTAGAAGCTCTGAAGACAAGACTCTGGCTTGAAATTCTTACATATATTGTAGCAAGTCATACTTAAATTTAGCATACCTTTTCCCCCATAGATACACCTCCTGATGTAATGATCACATCAGCACGGCTGATACCCTCATTCAGTGCATTCAGTAAATCATCTGGGCTACAGAAAAGAACAGGCAAGCAGATTAGTGGCATGGAACTGTTGTGAGTTGTAGTCTAAGTGTCTGTGTGCACACATACAGACGTATATACACACACGTATTTTAAGAAAGAGATACAGCTCTAGGATAATGTAAGATCTTTTCCTTCTTAAGACCCCACACTGCTCGATTCAAGAACTGCAATCTCATTAAGTGAACACCACACCATTTGGCACCTTTCTGTCTAAGAGCTTTGCAACAGGAACAGTGGGATACTTTAGGCTGGGACTGAAGAACACTAATACAAGTGTCTAAAAATATGTAATTTGCACAGTAGGTAGCAATACAAATTATGATTTAGATGAACTGACAGGGCTATATAAAGGGACTTGACACATGAAAATTACTGGCCACCAAGCAGGCTGCAGTACTACCTGTCTAGCTTATTTGATGTGCGCAAAAATGGGGGTAAGGCTCCACTTCAAATGTCCGTCAGTGAAAAGCAGGAGTAAATCCTTTGTTTATCTTCTCCATTAGAGGGCTCTGCAGCAAAGCCAGCTGTACATCCACTTCATCTTGAAAAACACAATTCACCCTGTTCAAGTGACTATTTACCTTCGCGAGAAACAGTGTAAGGGCATCTGTGATGTTCCTCCATACAAAGAGTGTTACTGTGAAGGTGAAGGATAGAAGCTGAGCATATTTCAGTTTTGGTATCTGAACTTCTTTCCTTTTTTTTTTAGATCTAAATGGGAAACTCTGAAGTGGGCATTAGCTATCTAACAGCCGTACTGATGCTAATACAGAGCTTCAAGGCATGCAGGGGAGAAACTCGCTAATACAACTTATACAAGACCAAAGGAATCCAAAAGAATTTCCAATATATTAAATCCATACTTTGCATTTAACATTTGTGAACTGACCAGAAGCTGACTTTGCTCTGACTGTATGTAATGTTCCTTCAACAGTATGTTTTTACTTTAATGATTCTGAAAGTTTTTCATGGGAGGCTGTTCCTTCTTAGAATGCAATTGAACGAATGGGCAATAATGCTAGTGACTGTATAGTGGCCTTCACCTGGAATGCAGCACCTCAGTTAAATGCTGCACTACAATTACAAAATGCCATTATGTGTTATCAAGGCTTTGCAGGCTGCAAATGGCATGTGGGCTATCCTTTGGGAACTTCGGCTATATTTCACCAAAAGATAGAATCATTGCAGTTATTTTGGCATTCGAGCTAGAAACAGGAAAATTAGAAATACTGTGCAAGTCCTGGTTGACCTTTCAGAGGCTAACAGAAACTGTGTGTTACAAAATGTCTCAGAAAGAAAAATCCTTTCCTCTGAGCATCCTGTCTTTGCCTGTGGTTTAGTGAAATATAAACAGCGGTCAGCGTCACGTCGTGCTGTGTGCACTACAATTTATGTGACACAAGAAAGACTGTGCTCCCTCACTGAGTAGATATTTCAAGTGCATGCAACCCTGCACACTCCTCATCTCCTCACCAGAGAGCCCTCAAGTGTCCTCGACCCTGGTTACACCTTGCAGGCAGAAAGACTCAAGACCCTTTTTCCACCATGTACTGATGCAGCACCTTCTTTGGCATCACAGTGTGGTTATCCTGCAAAACTTTTCTACTTGTGCTGGTTACATCCACTCTTTAGGGTCATATTGCTTTGTAAGGGGTAGGCAACAAACTACAGCAGAAAGAAGGGCAGATTGCTGGTGCCACAGTAGGATGTAATCAATCAGATAGAATTATACACTACCATTTTTTTAAAGGGAAGAGTGGCTGCAGATATTGTGGCATGCCTCCAGGGCTTTTGTTTAGGGTACTGGGTATCTTGGATACTCTAAATGGCCTATAATGAATGGCTGACCTCTTTGTTTTCTTTGGGAGAAAATATAAAACATACGGACTCAAGCAAAACCATCTCCTTCTTTGTTCTTTAGGAAACAGAGACATTTTCTCAGCTGCCCCTTCTGAAATCTCAGGATCATTTTATCCAAAAACCAGCACAAGTCTTCACTAGTTGTTGAAGGCAAGAGGAAAGAAGCAAGTCTGTTGTTGGCTACAGTCTGTGTCTTCTTCAGAACCAACTGTTTCATATTGATTGTCTAAATAGTAATCTGTATGTAATAAGATATTGGTTAAGATTGTTATAGAGTTTGTAATAGGAAAAGTCTCTCAAGATCTAAGTATTCCTTAATCCTTGCCAATGAGGGTGCAGATTTGAATGCAGCAAGGAATATGTATTCATTACACAGGTCAATACAGGCCTTTCTGAAGCTCGACGACAGACACTCATGCCACTACTACTAAGCTAAGACTGCTTTCAGTATATTTTTCTCACTAGGTTGTGAGGCAGCTGAGGACCTTATCTGGAGCTTGCTCCAGGCTGTTTAATTTTATCTTGTTTAATTATTTAAAAGTTATTTATAGTAGCAAGACCACCTGTCTGGGGACATCCTAATTCTGGTTTATGAAGTGTGCTTGCTCTTGGTTGTGGTTTGAGAATAACGGAAGGAGTAGTAAAAAGCAAATGAGTCTATACTTAACTGTTGTTAAATAGAATGGAAGTGCTCCTACTTACATACTGAAGATATATATGTGTGTGTATATATATAAAATTACTTAACAAAGGAAAAAAAACCAACCCCAACCCCAAAATAAACCCAAACTCAAACAAGGTGAGGACTCAATTCACACCTTTGTTTATGAGGGTATCATACCACTGAAGTAGTTCATCATACAGATTTTTAATACATGTCATGTAAAAAGTCAAAGATTACTGGACTCGGTGCATTTTTTCAGCATTTCCAGCAGGATAACCTGTATAATATATCCCTTTCTTTACCATCTGTATAAGGCAAGACATTTAAAAATTCTACCACTAAAACTTTATCCAACCAATAGCACTGCATATCATCTTTAGATAGTTGCAAAATGCACTGAATTCTTCCAAAATGAAAGATGTGATAGAAATTTTATTGTCATAAACTGAATGCTAGTTTGGGATTTTATTCTGAAGAAAGGAGACATTTACAGAATTCCCTTCCTTGCCTTTGCAGAAGGCTTCTCTCTTTTTGCCATATTTGGCACATTTCTTTTTGTCACTCAGGTCTGTCTAACTTCTATCCTACTTGAGGCTGGTAGTTCCCTGACTCTGCAATTAACACAAAACACTCCTTAAAAGAGTCACCTGCTGTAATCTTCAGTCAACACCATAGCAAACATTTTCCTTGCCTTTAGTGTATTTAATGCAGACAGTTATCATTCAAATTGCATATTAACACATATTTGATATAATCAGATAACAAGATACTACTTTGCATTTCATTTGTTGTATAACAATGAACAGCTTCTCCTTTGGATTGACACGGAAAGGGAATAAATAATTAAAGATGATTAACTTCTGAAAGAATAGACAAAACAGCTTTAGCATCTGAGCATAACAGGACAAGATTGTTCTAAAAGGCCTGTGACAAATCACGATGAAGCTGAAAAATAACCCTCACTGTCTGAGCAGGTACAAATCAGAAGCTATATTCTGAAGCCCTGGCCACTGCTAGGGGCAGGATACTGGATTAGCCAGACTAATGGTCTAATTTACTATGATAAATCCTTTAATATATCTTGTGAAAGTGCTATTCTTGGATTTTTTTTCCTTTATGGACAGAACTGTAACAGGTGCTCAAATATAACGGTGAATATCTTAATCAATGTAAAGTAGATTTTGATGGTAAGTCTCATTTCCAGATGGTAAAACTATTCTGTTTCATTTGGTGATTTTCAAAGTCAGAGCGACATTGTGCACAAGAAGGGAGTGTGCTTTTCTAACATGCTGCAATTGATTAAAAAAATTATACTCCCTGTATGTTTCAGGTCACATCCCAGCATCTGCTGCAAATACAACTAAGAAAATTTGTTCTATAAAGATTACATATAGTTTATGAAACTATTCATATAGGTAAGTAAGCACAAATCCAAACTTTCTCTCAACAGTAGAAATCCCCATCTATAGGTGATTGTGTCTGCACAAATATTATGTGTATTGCACATATATTTGCTTTGCATAACGAGTCCATGTACTTTTAAGTATATCTTTATATTCTCTGTTAATTTTGCCTGTCTGACAAACAGAGTATCTACTTTACCACCTCAATTTCCTGACCCTCTTTATTCTGTTTTATAGAACAGAATGAGCAGTACAATCTGGACATTAGTTGGAGGGTATCTGTTGTGCAGTGGCAGCAGCATGCGTAGAATCCAGTAAGCAGATGCATGACATTGCACTTGACATGCCACTTGATTTCATTAATTTGAAGAGAGGGCTTGCAGGATGGCAGTATACCAGAACAGGAACACCTTCTGGATTCATGAAAAATTCTGATTATCAAAGCTAGTTTGTGGAAAACTGTTATGCAGCACTTGATTACTGAGCTGTCTTTGAACTGAAAAGATACACAGCAGCTTAAGAGCTTGAACAAGAAAATGATGCAAGCCTCATTAAAATAGACATGAGCCATGTAGAAGATTTTTTTCCTTTATCTCTATCAAAAGAAATAGCTACAGTACAGTCAAGACCAAAGAATTCTCTATGTTATAATTGCCATTTTGAAGTACCCTAAATTACGGTGTAATTTTATCTTTCAGATAGAAATCGGTGTCTGTTAATTCACTTCTGTTGATCCTGTTGTTGTGCTTCACTGTCATTAATTATAAATCTGTCAGCCTTTTCTGTGATACAACCCTTAACACCAGCAGTATGATACATGCAATTAAACTGCTCAGTTTTATAATTTAATTTAGAAAGCAAGTAACAACAAATGGTGATCTGCATCACCTATCACTCTGCAGTAAAATGAACGATCCCTGTAAAATCAAACTGGAACATTTAGTTAGGACTGACTTATCAAGCCATTGTCACAGTACAAAATCCATAGTTCATTACTAATTTCCAGGTCCATTTCCACCAAGTTCTTTGCCACAGTAGTCTCATTCATTCAAATAAACC